GAGTAAGCGTACACTTGAGTAACGAGACCAATCTGTTGTCACATAGAGCTGTCGTTGCATTTATTTTTTTGTGCTTTCCCTACGATTTTACCCTAACCGTATAGGGAATACAGATTTCTGCGGTAAAATTTCTTTTTCCTATGCATGCAAAGATGAATGCTATAATACCAAACGTAGTGTCATGCATTTTTCCAAAAATAGCCTTTCAATTCATTTTTAATGACTCCTCTTCGCTGTGCCATTCCTAAGTGAACCAAGCAGACATTGACAAAGTGCAAGAGTGAAGATGATAACACGCTACTTAAGTAACGTTACAAAGAACAAAAAATTGAGTTCTCTGTTAGCCTCCACAGATTTAATATTTTTATGCAAATCCGTCCCAGACGACTTGAAAATAATGTCTCGTTACAACACGGCAATCTTTGGAGTTAATTAAATTAAGTTGTGCAAATATTCTATTCTATAAGTAGACCCCCAACACAAGTCGTAGATGAAATCGTCCTAAAAAGTTCTTATGTTGACCCACTTTTAATCAGTCCTCTTTTCGGTAACCTTATGGTCACTTTTTTCTTGTCCTCTTCGAAATGTTTTTACTTTTCAATATCGCTGTCTAACTCTTCCTGCCACATGCCTTCAGAGTGACCACCACTGTCCCCTAGAAAATAGAGGACTGAATCTCCCAATAAATCGGATGCACTCTGGTGACTAATTTATGCTTAAATGGAGAGCGGCTTTTAAAGAAAAAATCAAGGCTCCATAATTTATTCGAGATGAAGGATGGACAGTTGGATGTTGGCATAATGATATGAGTAGGCCTTATATTTCCGATGAATTTTGCATATTCTTGCTTCCCAAATGGTATTCTCATCCAGACCAGACCGGAACACAGTCTCGACCTCGCCTGAACTTGTCCCATTAGCACGCACAGCGGGACCCGAATCTGGTTTATGGTAGTTCAGCGTATATTCTCATCATATTAACCACTACGTCAGACTGCCACGAATGCCCTTGAGTGACAGGAGAGAGATGAAGTTCAAGGAAACCTAGACCTTTCTAATATCACATTTCTGTGGCGGGATTGCTATAGAAGCAAAGTTCTGTTTGCCATAGCAATAGGCTACATTACCTATTTTCCGTTGATACTTATGTTTTCGAGACTACGCTGCGCTAGCCGGGTTCGAGTCGAGCTGGGGGCGCAAGGTGAAAATTTCAGTCCAGCCTGGATAAGAATATCTTCCGGGAAGCAAGGCTATGTAAAGTCAAATGAAAACATGAAGCCTATTCAAAAGATTATGGGAAAATTCAACCAACGGTTCTTCATCACCTTATGTGAATTAGGATGATCAGGAACCTCAGACAAAATTAACTGAAAATATCTTTTATTTGATCATAATTTCAAAGAATAAGAACAAATAAGAACAGGCGGCAAGGCCAGAGACAAAAACCAATAACTTGGTCACCCTTAGTCGCTTAAGCTGGTTTAAAAACTGATAGTGGAGATTTTGCCATAATGAGATAGAGGCCTCAGGAAGCCATTGAATTTCGCTCAGCCTTACCTCTCAAAAGGTTATCTCATCCCACCTGGATGTCAGCTTCGACCTCGCCTAGGTCTCGTCGACACCCCCATCGGGTCAAGTGCACAATGGCTACAGGTCACAATCACACACAACCAAGGCTTTCACTAGGTCAAAGGGCAGATGAGACTTTCAAGGCAAGTCAAGCATCTATGGAATCATGCTTTTTAATAATACAATTGTTGATGGAGCAACTACAGCCGACAACAGCATCTTTATTTAGCATGAGGATGTTTCGAGAAAACCGATACTTTTTGAATATGGAATGTGCAGAAATAGAAATATTATTACTGTCATCATCATCATCACTATTATTATTATTATTAATATTATCTTATTAACAATCCTGAGTAGTGCGGCGCCTAATCTCGACATGCTATCACATAGTCGTACTGTCACAAGTGTTTGCGGGTCACAGGGAAGACATGGATTTGAATGAAGGTTAGGCCTCTTCCATATCACCATAATAGTGTTTTGTCACCATAATCGACTGTTGGAGTACCTTTCATTTAGTGTGAAGAGGCGAGTAAAAGGGATTTGTAAGTTGGCCTCACCGGAAGCTGAAGCTGTGAATGTAGATTTATGCGAATACGTCCGCGGCAAGCCTCCCTGCGATCCCGATTAATCATTGCTGAGCTTTCAGCCGTCGTGTGGCGGACATCGTGAGAGGAAGACAGCATGCTTTAAGATAATCCACCAAAAAACTCGCCTCTCCACACGAAATGAAAGGTATTCCAACATCTATCTATTAAGGGATTCCTTGAACACAGTTTTTATACATACAATTGACTGTTACATATTTTCGTTTATTGTTTATAAGTAGGTTTTTAGACTGCCAGTAAACCAGTTTTATATGAAATTAAGGACCTATAGTGAAGTTTCCGCATAGTGATAGGAGAGGGGCTTAAGCTTCCATTGGTGAATACAGCTCGTATATATGATCTACTGATAGTCTCGAAAACCTAATTATAAACGAAAAATAAGAATTGCTGGGGGGACTTTTATTTCGTATGAAATTGTATGAAGAAGAGATTCATATTTCGACCTCACCAGATGAGGACGGCTGAATCGCGTTGTACCGAAGCCGTTTGGCTTATATACGACGTTTAGGTTGACGCAGTCCACGAGACCTCTTCCCTCGTTTCGGGTGAAAACGTGCTGAGCTTTCGTCCATCATATGATGGACAGCATCAGAGTCTCACGTTAACACTAAAACAAGAACACTATCCGGCTCTACCTTACCTCTTATATAGACTCAATTAAGCGTATATACAAAATGCCGGTCCTAAATCAGAGTTATCAAAAGGCTAATGTCAGGCTCTGATCATCAAGGCGTAGCCGATTGCTATAGAAAATACAAGTTTACTTCTTCGCCAATCCCACCAAAAGGAATGTAATGTAAGAAAGGACCAGGCCTCCTTTAAATTTTTCGAATACCGCCATTTTGAAAAGTAGTATTTGGTGAAGAGATTTAAAGGCAGACCCAACCAGAAGACGACGGGGAATTCCTCTTGACCAGCTGTCGATTGGCTTTACTGAAACATTCCTGCTGACGCCGTAGTCGAGGCAATCCACTTCGATTGCGGTGAAAACGTGTCAAGCTTTCGTCCGTCATTGTCTTCTGGTGGCATCAACTTTGGAATCTTTCAATCAAATACTTGCAATTGAAATTGAAGTAAGCTCAACAATTATGAAGCAAAACACTCTTCGAAACCCAAGTTTTCTAAGCATATACTCTTATATATACTCTTTTCTGTATGATTTATTCATCTTAAACGAAATATGGTGAATACAGTTCATAGGTGACTTAAAATGGGGGAAAGTATGGCTCCAGAGGATACCGGCAAATCAGCTAATACGACCTAGGCTGACGGAAAGGAGTCATGACGAGTTGCAATCCTCCCAAAATGCGGAGCCCAAATGCCTCGCGAGTGTGCTCACCTGCTTCAGGTCGGCGAGATGCTGAAGCTGCAGGGCATGATGCAGCGGCAGGGGACTGTGCAACGGCCATTGGTGCAGCGAGACGACTGAACGCCGAGACAGGGCCGAGGCCGCGTGGTGCGGCAGGACCGCGGTCCGCGGCGCGGCCGGACTCGGTCCCGCAACTGCGGTCGGCTCGTGGCCGGGAAACGCAGCTAACGGCCTGGCCCGCAGGACGACGGAACCCGGTCCGTTGGCGCCGCCAGCGACGGGCAGCGGCGCAGCAGAGCCGGGTGTCTCCGCGGGGCCGGGAGCTCCGACGAAGAGGCGAGACAGACCCACGGCGCCGGGCAGCACCAGACTGAGGCTGGAGTGGTGGTGGGCGGGCTGTTGCTGCTGGCTGCCGGGATGCGACTGCGGCTGCGGAGGGTGGAGGCCAGCGAATGCGGCCGCGGCCATCGAGGGGCTGGAGGAGGAGCCGGTCGGGCTGGGCCCGAGGAAGGAGGCGCGGTCGTCGGACAAGTGGTCCCCGGTCGCGGGGCCCGAGCCGGCGCCGCCCAACCTGCGCAGGCCGGCCGCGGCAGAAGCGCGGCCCGGCGCGGAGATCAGCCGCAGGCTGGCCTGGCCGTCGACCTCCTCGCGGCCCGACCCGAGGCCGCAACCGGAGCCGGAGCCGGAGCCGGGCCAGCCGCAGCACCAGTCCCAGACGCAGGCGCAGGCGTGAGCACGCCCTGAGCCGTGCTTCCCGGGCCGCCCGGCCAGAGCAGGGTCGCGGGGCTGCGGCAGCCGGACGAAGAGGCGGCCGGCGCTGGGCACGAGGGAGCACGAAGAGGAGACGGCGTCGAGGTTGCCGGCCGCCGGGGCGCCGCTGCGCATCAGGCCCTGGCGCAGCTTGATGTGGCCGGGGAAGAGGAGAGGCAGAGCCGTGGTAAGCAGGCTAAGCAGGCCACCGGAACAGGTGAGCACGTAGGCCCACCCGATGTGACAACGACCTGAAAGCCGGAGAATACAATCACAACCGTAACTAGGCCACATGTACATTGGAACAATTTCAGCGTGAGCATCCTTGACGATCTCTTTACAACACCGCCTCATATCTAGGCTCCGATTCGCGTCATTATGTGCTCCTGTGCGTCGCTATGGGCGGATGAGTGCGGATGTATGCATGTCCCTTTGACAGAACATGTGTAGAGGCATTTATATCCAGTTGAGTTTGAAAAGTATACATTTGTGAAACTGAGGAAACAGTCGATGAACCGAAAAGAGGTGGACCAGAAGGAAAAAATACAAGAAACCGAAAATGGTTTCTCACTGATTACTTATGCCGAGGCGCCATTCAGCAGAAAATTTATAGAGTAAATACGGTCTGCGCATAGTGCTTCTCAAAATCGCATCATAGGCTGGCCGAACAAGTGGTCTATTCGCTTGTGCCAAGCCGCTCTGTAAGTTAACTTCGCCAGAGCTCGAAATCGGCAAAACACATCAGCCGGCCAGGTGGTGAGACGCAAGCTCGTGTATGCAACAGGAACTAGCACCATTGGAACCGACTTTAAAGCGATATGTAGATGCAGAGCCAACTGGTATCTAGGCTATGAAGTGCAGAAGGATTAGCGAGAAAGCGAGAGACAGCCTGAGAGTTGTAGATGAATGAAACAATATAAGGATAGAGTGATGTGAGAAATATCAGAAGAATCAGAGCCAGCGAGGATTAGTAAGTAAACAAAACGAAATCTTGTTAAAAGTAAAATTTTGTCTGCAAGTGGTCACCTCAATTATTACCCATGTGCATATCATAATGTAAAAATCTATGGAGGTTAGCAGAGATTTTTCATGAAAAATCTGTGTGAATGTGATTCATTTATATTCGAGGCGAATACCAAGATATAGATAATTGCAATAGTGGCGACTTTGGATTCCAGTTGATGGCGAGAACATAGAGTTGGAATAGCAAATGAAAATTTAAATGATAAACTCATGTCCCCGTTTGTTCAACAATTCTACAAGTTTGTTGGTGGCGTCAAGGCAACCTCTCGGCCTTCTGATGGCATGCACCCAGAGCAAACTGCATTATCTGATCATATTTTTATGAGCATTTACAGGTAACAACAACAACCAATCTTCCACATTACTATGCGTCGCCAGGCCCTGCGCCGTTACCATTGGCTCAGCTCTGCACAGTGGGGAAGTAATAGAGATGGAATGCTGCTTTATCGGAGTATAAAAGGATCTCCCTGGTCTAGCATGTTAGTAAAAATATACCTTTTCTTAGCATAGGGATTTGGAGCTAGCCTACTTCAATTGTTTCGATAAATTTCATGACTGAAGGCAGGTTACCTCCTTGAGGTCCCACTTTGTAGTGGAGAAGATGTGTTCAGGACTCAACTCAAAAGTTTTTATGAGAGGCCAAGTTGAAAGACATGCGGAATAATGGCAATGGTCCTTAAACTTTGTACTCTTTGACCGCCTTCATTTGCTGTCGATTTCGAGCAGATTTAGACCAAAACCTGAATTTCGTTATCCCTAACGTAAGGAGTTAACCAGGAGATATTTGACTGCTATATTCATGGAATGTTTCGAAAATAATGAATAAGAACATAGTCACCCTAGACCAATTGGAGGCTGATCGTCTAGAACCCCACGGCAAACCATTACCAATCCACTAGACACTCATAGCAACGTAATCGCTTACAGGATTCACTTACCGAGTAAGAAGTTGCATAAATTATGATAGGCGCTAGTATTTTGAACGATATAATAAACTAAATACACTAATACGAAAAATATAAAATGCTACTATTATTGTGTTTAGCATATAATATAATATAACAAAATATAGTAATATAGCAACATAGCAAATTCTATTACCCCAACGGCTGAGGAAATTTTGTAAAAAACATATAAAACTGAATGTACCCAAAATAAGTCCCCAAGACAGCCTCGAAGCACAGAACTTCGATCCTTCAAAAGACATGAAAACAGACATTCATCATCAGAAGCGAGTATGGCTTAGCCCAAAATCCTCACGTGAGTTACAGCCGTAAGCATGCCTCGTTAATTGGACTCGAAGATGGTGGATGCAGGGACATTGGGTCAATTGATGCTTATCTATAAGGCTTGCCTTCACTACCCTAATCACTATTTAGAGAAGAAATCGTGTTTGTTGGCAATCGGATGAACAATGCCCTGGCAAATATGTATGTGATGAATGATGAATGAGCTTCCTGATGAAAGGTAAGAAGTTGACCAGCTTTCGAATGGCTGGCCGTGGTTGTCTATTCAAAGCCCGTTCCGCGGCCGTTAGTGAAAGCAGAAACGTGGACTCAGGCAGCGTAATCTGGAGAAATGTGTTCCAACTACCAAATTTAATCCAAATAATGCCAATTAAAAACTCTTAAGGTGAATTTTCAGATATTGAGTGATGGATGAACTGCATGCAAGGCACAAGTAAGCTTTGTGAACCCAGCCACCCCTCCTTCAGGGACTCAAATTTCGCATTCGAGTGAAAGATAAGACGTTACATTAAGAGATTATAGTGACATTGAGTACAAAAGCATGCATTTTCAGGAGACGCCTCCCCCGAATGAAAGATGAGAAGACAACCTAAGAGCGAAAACAGAATGTGTCAAGTTTGTTTGGCTAAGGCAAAACTCCCTAAGATGAGCCGAGGCTTCAGCGTCGGCGGTACAAGTGGGGCCCGAACTTAAACCATGAACATCCATTAATGGGCAGTCCAAAGGGTCGAGTTACAAAGTTTGCACAACTATCGGGCTAAGCCATACCTTCCTCGACCCAAATCCACGAGTAGGATAAATCAGTAAGAAAAAATGCACTTTCCAGAGCCATTAGTATATCCATCGATTAGGTCGCTCAAGGTGATGCAAGGTCGAACGCCCCTCACGATGCCCCGTAGTTGCGTAGCCTTGCCTCCCATAAGACGTCCCTATTCATTCATTCTCATTCCGACGGGATCCAAAAATGGCTCGTGTGCGTCACGTGGGCAACGAGTCGCAACTCCACCACGGGTGTCAGTGGGTCACAGAGCAGACGTGACTGTCAAGACAATTCATGCCCCTCCCCCTCCCCCTAATCCCCCAATTCGTGATATTGAGAAAGGTT